AAATATCCTATCGTACTCTGGCAACGCAAGTGTGTGAATGTCGCTCACTTATATAAAGGAATGTGGATATCCATTCGTACACCTAAAGGGGTGAAGGTGTGAATTTTTCCTGGAAAGCTCACACGTTTCCCCCTACATACGAATGGATATTCACACTCCTAAAAGTGTGCGACATCCACACACTTGCGTTTCCAACGTATCTGTTGCGATGCTCCAGTCTATGATGCCAAAAGATTCGCTTTCAATTCTCTCTCCAAAGGTGCGGTATGGAAATTTTGTAAACATTTCCCAAAAATTATTTAAAAAAGCGTCAACAATGTAGCTGTTGGAAAATTTGGACCGACCTTTTTTATACGCATTGTTCAGTGGTCTAACCCAAACATTCTAAGCCCTTTTCCAGGTTTCTACAACCTACAACAAAAGCAACTGGTTCCAGAAGCGCATAACCAGAAAGTGCACATAAACTCTTGCTGCTCAAGGCAATGGGATTCCCAACCGAACTTGGAGAAAAAGTTTTTCCAGTATGTGCATTAGGCACCCTCCCAACAGAATCTGCAACGAAATTTTCACTAAAATTTGTTGTAGGTTCGCACGAGATTTTCATTTCGTTAACTGGAATCTAATGTGTACTTGATTGAGTGACTAAATCGGTCCCTTGGGTTAATCAGTTTACGTTTTCTGAACCCACAAGGCCAGGGACGCGTTTTTTTTTCTTTCGACTGCAAGCAGAGGAGACACAGGAGTGTCGCCCAGGTAGGTGCTGGTAGGGCTGGTGGCAAGCCTATAGCCGGGCTATGACTGCAGCTGGCCGGATTCACAAAGGGGCAGGAGCCGTGTTCTTATTGGCGTCTTATTGGATCTTGATGGCGCTCTTTCATGGAAAAGAATAAGCTCCCCTTGTGTGTGCGTTTCAGTGTGTATGTGTGTGTGAGCGTCTCTGCCGCCGCCGCCCAGCCGCCCGGCATTCATATAATTCTGTGTGTCCCCAGATTCCTTTCCGCCTCTCTGCTGCGCAACCAGGTGAGACTGCCGAGGCCCAGCTGAAGCAGAACTTTTGATGACTCGCGCTAGCTCCTTCCCCTTCCCCAACTGTCCACTCTCTCTTTTCTTTATAGAAATTGCAGTGCTTTTACCTTTACTTCTAAATCAGTCATTTTTAAAAAAAATCAGCTCTTTGTGAGTGCAAGCAAAATCTGTCTTATTGTTTGTTCTTCTTTTCCTCCTGGTCATTTACTGATGCATGCCAAAGTTCTTTCTTTTTCTCTTTCCTGTTTTCCGTTTTGGTTTTGTATAACAAAAAGAGATTAGATTCAATATTTTAAATATTATTTATTCAAGATTCGGCAGATGAAATTTTCGTTTGAAGGGTAACAACAACAACAACAACAAGGCTTGAAATTATTTGGAAAATAACATACAAGTTTGATTTTAATTTGGTACTTCACATTTTAAAGAGTTCAATTGAGTCCAAAAATATTAATAAATAACAAACCATTTATTTAAGCGTATAGAAGTTATGATTACAGTTAATTTCAAACTTTTTGTACTCATTTGAACTCAAATTAAATATAGGAAAATAACGTGCTGACAAGCCTTATCATGCCTGACGAGTTATGAAGGGAGAACAGAACGCGCCTCTTCACACAAAATAAGCTTTACATCAGAAATTTTTCACATGACTTTGGTACCCTGTTGTTCATAATACAGTACTTGATTAACAAGCTTTGCTTGAATTTGAAATTACAAAGCAATCTCAGTCTTTAAAAATACAACAACATTTACACATGACATTATGATAAAAATCAGTTCTTTTAAGTGAAAGTTATGATAGGGCACCTTTAAAATTCTGACATAAAGCTTGGGAAAGAAATACTCTGTTAACCGTTCATAATGTTTGGTCTAAGTATAGGTTTATCCTGAATAGCACCAACATCACAAGCAAAAACATCCTAGCGCTCTCCACGTCGTATAAAATATATATCACTTAGAATAAATTATAATTTGAAAATTTATATATGATACACTATGCATTTTTTTACAATACTGGCAGTTCTTAAAGAATTTTATACATTTTTTGGCTATTAGCCACAGTCAAACAAGGTATGAATAAAAACTGTACAAAACAATGAGTATTTACATATTTTACAAAACATACAAAAATACAAAAGTCTATCAACAAAATAACTAAACTAGGTATCACAATTGAACATTCGATGCTTCAACAATACTGGTATGTCGCTTAGACAGCACTATATAAACTCCTTTGATTGAAAGCAATTAATGGCATTCTTAACTTTACACTATCACTGGTCATAACACTGAATTTACGACACACTTATTCACGTATTCCAAAAGATGTCACTTTTCCAGTAAAATACATATAAGTTAACTTTTAGACAAGAACACAACTTCACCTCATACATTATTTATCACATTGCACTGCACAGCACTTCACACTCATACATTGCAGCCACATCGAACAGGGAACACTTTTCACTTATCACTTCACTAGATATGAATTGCCACTGACCGAGAGTGTTGCTGCTGTCCCGGCTGCGTTACCGAGTGTTGATTGTGTATATGTTGAGCTACATTTTGCGGACTATGGGTATTTTGGGGTGTTAATGTGTTATGAGGATTGTGTAGGTTGTGCGCATTATGTGGTATGTGCGGCGGTATGTGAGTGTTGTGATTATGATGACTATGGTTGTGATTATGATTGTTGTGTCTGTGCACGTGGTGATGCATGATGTGATGATGATTGGCGTTGCTGTGATTGCTGACTCGTCCCGAGCCGTGCCTAGTCCGCTGATTGTTCGGTACGTCGGGCAGGGCGAACCTCAGCTTTTCCCAGAAGAGCTTGTCACCCCACTGAAGATACGTGTTGGTCTTGAGGTACAGCCGGATATCGGGGTCCAGGTCTTTCTGTGGGACCTCCCCGAGAAGAACGACGATAAGGCGCTTTCTTCGGTCTCTCAAGACCTGGTGGTGAGCAGACTTAAACTCAAATCGGCACCACTCTGACTTGATGAAGTTCTCACTCAGCACCATGATGGTTCTGCGCGACGACTCAACGGCCTGCACGATGGTGTCTGCGATGAATGCACCCACAGGGAAGTCCCGGTAGTGGAGGCATAGCTTGTAAGACGGGTCACCATGCTCGAGTAGAGGCGCCAGCTCCTCGGCGACAAAGGCCTCGTCTTTTGAGCTGTAGCTAATGAAGGCGTCGAACAGCTTCTCGCGATCATCCAGCTCGAGGTCGCTCTTGCGGTAGAAGAGGCGGACACCGAAGCGTGAGTGGAACCAGACGCGCATCTCTTGGCGGTAGACGAACACTACCAGCATGAGCAGAATAATGACCAGGAACACGCCCAGGGTGGCGATGAGCAGAGGCATGTAGTCCTGGATAACCTGCCGCTGAATGACGGTCTTGTTGGCAGTGTAGTTGCCATTGACGCTCTCCGTGAAGTTGTAATTGGCCGTGCGTGAGATGCAGTTAGACGAATTGTCATAGATTATCAGGAAGCCGTCGTCACCCTCCTTCTGGCGCTCCTCGGCGTGGGAGGCGGTGGCGTTGCTGCCGGCCGTGGTTGGGGCATTGTACGCACAGCGGATGTTTGACAGGTCCGTAACCACCTCGTCGGCAACCTGGAGCCATTCACGGAAACGGCTCGTGTACTCGCAGTCACAGGACCACGGGTTGGCGGCCAGGGTAATGTCCATAATGGAGGCTGACAGCTCCCAGACGGCGAACTGCGTAATACGGTTGTGTTCCAGGCGCAGGACGCGCAGCTGGCCCAGGCCGGCGAAGGTGCCGTTGTGGACGCTGGTGATCCTGTTGTGCTGCAGGTACAGCTCGCGCAGGCTCTCCAGCCCCTCAAACTCGTGGCCATGGAGCTCGCGGATCTCGTTGTTGTCCAGGTGCAGTAACTCCAGGTTCTTCAGGCCGTTAAAGGTCCGGTTGTGGATGATCTCCACGTTTGATCCATTCAGGAAAAGGACCTTTAATCGCTTGCGCCCGATGAAAGCGTGACTGCCAACCGTGCGGATGTCGTTGCCGTCCAGGTACAACTGCGTGGCGTCCATGGGGATCTGGTCAGGCAGTGTCTCGTTGTAGCCGGCGTTACTGCAGTCCACCACGTTGGCTGACCAGCTCTGGTCGTGATAGCAGGTGCAGTTAGTCGGGCATGTCATCTCACAGTCGCACGCGTCAAAGTCGCAGCAGTGGCACAGCGCAAAGCAGTGAAAGTCGTAGCGGCACAGGAACTGGTAGGGCGCGGCCTCGACGAGGGGAACGTACGAGCGCCCGCGCGCGTACAGCAGCTTGCAGTAGATGCTGTCCAGGTCCATGAGCTTGGGCTGGTTGCGCGCGCGATTGTCCGTGTTGACTTTCTGCAGCCAGTCCATTGTGCAGTCGCACTCGAAGGGGTTGCCGCCAATGTAGAATTCAGGCAAGGGCCGGTTGGCCGGAACAGACGATATCCGAAGTGAGTTTGGGTTTAGACTCGTGATGCGATTGCCGAATAGGTCGACACGAGTCAAGTTGGGCTTTTTAAAGAAGCTGTAGGACTGCACTTTAGAGATAAGGTTGTCGCTGAGTGACAGGAACTCAACGCTGTCAGGGATGGCGCTGCCTGTAATTTCTGTCAGCTTGTTGGAGCTGGCATCGAACGTACTCAGGTGAAGCTGGCTTTCAATTTCGAAGTAATTTCCCAAAACAGCGATCTGGTTTGCATGAATGTCCAGCCATTTAAGGCCGGTTGGGATAAGAGAGTAGTCGAACACTTCCAGCTGATTGTCAGAAATGTTGAGCCATTGCAGGTTTGGCAACTTGGCGAAAAGCCCTGTGATGTCGGTGAGATAATTTCCATCCAGCCGGATGGCATGTAAATTTGCATTACTATCGAACGCACCAGCCTCAACCTTCCTAATTTTGTTAAAGGATAGGTTAAGTATCTTCAGAGACGCCATCTTGTCAAACACGCCCTTGCTGATATTGACAATGTTGTTTTCAGTAAGACGCAGTCCGTACACGTGCTGTAGGTTGGCAAACGTGGTGTTATCGACACTTGCAATGTGGTTGTCGCCCAGGTCGAGTGTCTTCAGAGTTGGAACGTCCTTGAGAGCTGCCGGCACTTCGAATAGCTTATTACCATTCAAGTGCAGGTCCTGCAGGCTCGATGAGTTTCTCAGTGCATCCGGATGAATCGTCTCAATATCGTTGTTCTCGAGTGAAAGGAGACTTAAAACGGAGAGACCGTTAAACGTGTAGCTGTGGACGGTCGTCAGCTTATTGTCCGAAAGGACCAGGGTATGCAGGTTGTACAGGGAGGCGAAGGTGTTCTCTGGGATGGAGGCAATGGCGTTGTCCTCAAGCCGCAAAACCTGCAGTGTGTACAGGTCGCGGAACACGGCTGCCTCCAGTTTGTTGATGCGGTTGTGGGACAGGTCCAGTATGACGAGCCGCACGAGGTTGGTGAAGGTGTTGGCGTTCACCCACTCAGAGGTGAGCTCGTTGCTGGACAGGTCAAGCAGTGCCAGGTGAGACAGTTCACCGAATAGCCCCGGCGCGAGCACGTTGATAGAGTTGTTCTGCAGGTACAGCTGGCGCAGCTCGCGGGCATCGGCGAACAGCTCGGGCGGCAGCGTGGCAAGCTTGTTGTTGGCCAGGTTGAGATAGTGCAGCGCGACGAGCCCCTCGAGGGCGCGGTCAGCAAGCACTGTCATACTGTTTCCTTCCAAGTTGAGGTACTGCAGCCGGCCGAGCCCTGACAGCGCGGACGGTGGGAGCGATTCGACACTGTTGTTCGACAAGTCAAAAGTTCTGAGGTTTCCACCGCACCGTTGCGATGGGGCCAGAGTCGCCGACGCCACAGTCGCGCCGAATTGAAATCCGCCGACGCTGCGCAACCGGTTGTTGGTAAGGTTGAGGTGCTCCAGGCTGTGCAGCGGGCAGACCACACCATCAGGCAGGCTCCAGATGTTGTTCTGGCTCAGGTCCAGTCGCTCGAGCCGCGCCATATCCTCGCCGAAAGCATTGGGGTGCATTTCGAGGGCCATGGCTGACCAGTCCGTGTTGTGTGTTCGAACGGTCAGGTTGCGCAGGTCACGGAGCCCAGCAAACGCCCCCGTAGACAGGTTGCCGATCTTGCAGAACTCTATTTCCAGATCGCGAAGCTCAACTAGCGAGCGGAAGCTGCCTGAATTCAGAGAGCTCTGGAAAAAGAGTGCGTCACTGCACTCCAGGCGCAGCCGAAGAGTGTGCTGCGCCTGGATCACGCTGAAGTTGGTGTTCTCGAGCTCGCTGTTGATGGTGCGGAGGCGGCACGTGAGCGACACGCCCTCTTCCGCGTCCTCCGTGGCACTCGCGGCGGCCCCGTCGACTGCGACCTCGCCGCGGCCGCTGTTGATGATAACCCATTTGCACTCATCGGGCGCCGTGTAGCGAAGCGCCTTGCTCAATGAGGCCGATAGCGCACTGAGGAGAAGGAATAGGGTCAGGAGCGCTGCGTTGAGCTGCATGTTGCCAGTTGATGAGCGGCGATATTTCGGAGTTTTCCGCCCTCAGCGACGTTTCCTCCTCGAAGACGGCCGGTTTCGTCGTTCGTTATCGAAGCCAGCCATTTGCACAAGTGTCCATGGGGTCAAACGATGACACACTTAAGTTTTTGCACTATCTGCATTTCACACACACTGTTTTGGGGTCGCGTAATCCAATCAGGTGAACGCACTGCACTGAATCACAGCCATGTATCCATTACAGGCGAAGTGTAAGATAATTGGCACACAATTCACACACTTTAAATGGTTTCTGTCAATGAAACCACTTCACTGCACTGCACTAGCGACGTAGGTAATCCAAAGTCGTGGCGTCACAAGTTGTGGTTGAAAAATCCGTATTCCATTTGCAGGGAGCGAACGCACACACGAGTCAAAAACTATTTCGACGTTTCTCAGACACGCGCGCGCGCGCTGTGGTTAGCGCGTATACGAGGTGAGTGACTTGTGGATGTTCGCCGTGCACTGTAATCCAAGTGAGCGTGCGCAGACGAGCTCCAGCAGCACCACGTCCTCCTCGTTTCACTCCCGTGCTCTGACTGAAGCCGCCGGGCCCCGGGCCGCCGGGCCCCGGGCCGGGCCGGGCGCTGCTCCCGCTGGCCGTGGCCTTGCGCGGTCTGTCCGCCTGCTCGCCCGTCCGCTCGCTCCGCTGCAGCCGCCAGCCCAGGTCGTCCGGCCGTTCGCCTGCCTGCCTTCCTGACGGCGGCTCCAGCAAG